CACACACACACACCACGCACTTCCGACCCAAAGTGCAAGACTGAGGCGCGCTCTCTCCCCTCTTTTCTCTAGAGAAATAACCACCATCCAAGCAGGCTCGCGCCTCCCGCAGCTTCCAGCAACCTGGACTTCAGCCCGCGTGTGCAGGAATGGGGGTGCAGACCTTCCCCTCCCACCCGGGACCCCTCTCTGCCAGTCTTCTGCACACCAGGCGGCGCGGGGGTTGCCAATTGCAAGTTGGACTACTGGAGAACTTGCTTATCGAGGAGGGATGGTGTGCAAAGGAAAAGGGGGGCGGGCGGAGAAGCCGCTTTTGTGCAATGGAGAGTTTGTTCCCTTTATCAAAAGGGACTCTGCTTGCTCCTGGTGGGCGGGCAGGTTAGTCTTGGACAAACTTGTGAGCTGGAGAGTGTAGGTCCAGCTAGAGGGATCCGGGTGTGCTCCCGATGACCCATCTCTACACGCCCTTTTCAAACGTTGAAACGAATAAATTAGCAGCCACAACTGAGGCGAACTCTGCAAATTCCAACCACCAGGGAAACAAAAAGAGAAAACACGTGCATTTATTTCCTCGTGTCTCCCAGTTACTTCTCTGCATTGTTACATCGGTATTTCTTAGGGTGTGAGGAGGGATGCTAGTGATTTCGGCGCGCCTTTTTAATGACAACTTGCACCCCTTCGGGCCCGATTAGTAGCTGGGGGCAGTGGGAGTGGATCGTTTCCCCACCCCCTGCCCAGGACCCCCTGTTGCCCCACTTCCTCCCTCTTTCTTCCGGCTTGAAAGCCGGGACCGGAGTTGCGGGGCAGAGGGGCGCGTCCCTTGCGGGACGCGGTGCTCTGTAGGGCTCCCTTCCTCTTGCACGCACCCACCCGCGACCCACTTTGCTGGTGCTGATGTGGTTTTCCCCATCTCGTTTTCTCCTCTCCCCGCGCGCGGAAGCTCCGGCCCGGCAGCCGGGGTGCAAGCGGCCGCCGCGCCCGCCGCACGAACCCAAGTTGGGCTCGGCGGAGCATGGTGACCGCGGCCGCGCCGCCCCGGCTCTCGGCCAATAGCGCCTCGCCGGGCGAGACACCTGCTTAACCCTTTGAGCCTGGGGCGCAACCGGCCGGCGGGGACCCAGAGGGGCAGGGCGGATTGGCCAGAAGTTGCCAAGGCCGAGGGCGGCAGCCTGCCCAGCCCAGCATTCCCGCACACGGGCTAGGGGCCAGACGCCTGCCCTAGCTGTAGAGCTGGACGTCCCCTTCCACCCTCGCGGCTCTCGAGAAGCACAGAGCCGCACAAAGGCCCATCCGCGCCCCAGCAGCGTCCCGCGCCTGCCTAGGCAATCTCTGCACTCCCCTAACCCGAGTCAGTTTCCGGAGGAGCCTCCCGCGCCCGGCAGCCACAGGGAGACAGAGGGAGGGAGCCCCAGCTCTCGCTGGCCGGGCCCACGGCGCAGCTGCGTTTCCATTTTCCTCTCAAAGAAAATGCTTTGGACGGCAGATAATACCAAGAGATATGAAACTGCTTCGTCCCCCACATGTTGCACGTAAAAAGAATCGTAATGAGCATCTGTGGCGTGTGCTAAGGATCCCGCGAGTTAGTTGAAGACCTAACCCAGGTCCTGACTCCTTCCTTCCTTCCTGGAAAGGGGTCATTCTCTAGTTTAACGGCATTTCATTCGGAGATACTTGCTTTTCAGAGGCCAAACTCAAGGTCATTGAACGGAGTGGGGGTGGGTGTTGAGAGAGTGGATGGTCCGAGTACATGGAAAGCCGCCTTGTAAGGATCTGGTCACAGATGTGGGTCCCTGTAGGAGCACCGCGGCCAGGAGATGCTGATTGACTTGGTTTCTGAGCCCTCTCCTCTTCCATCTCTCATCCTCAGGGCCGGATCTTAAGCGAGAGATCTCAAAAAGCATCCCTTGACTCCAAGCTGGCTTTCCAGTTGAAAGAAATGGGAGTTCATTGCAATTCGAGAGAGGTCAAGAATGTTTCAGGGGTTGGGAAAAGTTCTCCTCTGACTGCAGAGGTCAAGGCCGGCCAGCAGTACTGTAGACCAAAGGAAGCCAAGTAAAATGGCTGAGGAATCGGGCTAAAAATGAACACAGATCCAGGCCGTGGCTTTCTATAAAATAGAATTTGTCTGAATTATTGGCCCATTGTGGGGTGATGCTGTGCCTGCCACCTGATATCTAGGTCAGCCAGTTGATGGAGGCTTCCAGCAAGCAGGTCCAGCTTCCATGTGTGCTTTGACTCCAGTAGATAATGCAATATTCCAAGCCAGATCCCATTGATCCAGAGGCATTCCCAATGTGCCAAATGATGCCAAAGGGGGGAAACCCTCTTTGGCCAAAAGAGCAGAATTTTTAGATTACTTTCCCTTTTAAAGTCTTTCTGCACAACCAACAGTGAGTTATATTTATAAACAATATCCCAGTTCTTCTTTGTTTCAGTACAATTCTATGAACGGAAAAAAACCAGTGATTATATTTTATGGACTACTTATTTTACCAAATAGCTGGTCTGGAAATTTGTGGTCCTGCTTCACTTCCCTTCTGGAGGGCAAGTTTTTCTTGAAAGCCTAAAGGGCAAAAGTGTCCCAATAGAAAGAATGTGTGAGATCTGTTGTTAGACATTTAAGACTAGACTTGCTGAAGCTCACTTCAATTCTACTTTATATTATTAAAAGCAAGTTTAATGAGTACATTCAACTTCAAAGTTCCAAGCTGTCAACGCCATATTTAAGAGAATATATCTCCTGCCCTCCAGAAACTTTCTTTTCTAAAATAGAAATACACAGAATACTTGAAGAAGGCTTGCACAGTAGGTTACCTTAGAATGCATATAAATCTGTTTTCAATATTTTGTCTTTAAATGTGTAAGTCCAGAAGTTTGGTTTGCATGCGTGAGAGACAAATTTCTTATTGGACCTGCTTATCTCCATGTTCATTAAGGACCTTAAGCAAAATATAAGTTTATTCACTCATTAGTAATTCAGATTTCATTACTGTATTCTTTCAGTTAAAATCTTTACATGCTGGCAGCTGTTTTGAAATATTTTGAAAGTTGTTTTGGCACTCATCCAACTAAAAGGGCTCCAGTTAACATTAAACTGGATACTTTCTCATTTTATATTCTCCCCCCCCCGAAATCTACATATTAGTGTATGTAGAGATCTAGAAAGACTTTTACGATGTTTTAACCCTCAATACATACATATGATATATACACAGCTATCACAATTACATATTTACATCTTCATCCTTGTTGTCACTGTAAAACTACGCCTTTTTCTCATGTGATAAAAATATCTATTCTCTGGAAATTCATTTCCATGTACTTAGAGTTAAATGGTTTGACTTTGAATTTTTACTACTGCCTGTCAGAAGCTACCAAGGAATGAGGGGCTATACAGATTGATTGTATCTAATGTTTGTGTTACTTTGGTCAGATATTTAAGAGGAAAATAAAACAGTACATAGAGATTAGGATAATATAAAGCAAAACAAAATAAATAGAAAGAAAATATAGTATGTCATGAATAAGGTAAGAGATGTTTTACTCTGAAATGTTGAGTGTTTTAGCAAAGTGATCACAATGCAAAGAGAGATTTTTTTTTTTCTATTTAAAAAAAGACAAAACAAAAACAAAACCTCCTGTCATCATTTACTACAATC